ATAGCCCATGCGAGCTTTTTGTCTTCATATGTATGATGACAGTCAATATTGCACGCATGTACGGCACCCTAACATGTCATGTCCAAATTGTAGACGGGCTGAAACGACAATCCCTCTACAATTGCGGTCGACGTGCCTCTGTGTTCCTAGCATGGAGGAGCCATGTAGCCTGTGACATCTATCTACGCCTTGCCATTCCATGCAGCAACTGCGATTGTGAGAATTGGATGTGGTGCTTCCACAGACCACACACGAACCATAGGCAACGATTGCTCCTCAATTCAAGATCTTATGCAACCCAAACACTGACTGGACTCATGTCCCATTCTAGAGTGATCTGCTCCAGCGGTGACTACTTAGAACCTATCAGAACTCCACCTCCCATTTCCTTTGTCCCTCCTGTTGTGTATTACTAGCAATGCATATGAATGATCATCATTAAGAGAACAAACATAATATAAGCTGAAGATCTGAGAAAAAAACAAACGGGATTATACCTCCGCCTTTACTTCACCTTTGCTCTGCCTCCTTTCATAGTGTGCAAGCGAGCCGGGGATGTGGGCAGCTTGCACTCAACCCTAATCAACATGGCGAGCCTTGTACATGGGAGGCGCGGTAAAAGGGGAGCTGTCAGAGCAAATGCAAGGGGTATCCCAAAGAAAGCAAATGTGAACACAATCAAGAAAGGGATTTAAACACCTTTATTATACTCCGTGTTGCTTGCTGTAGAGGTGAAACTGTTTCATTGTTGGATTGTCTTAACTCAAGGCTTTCGTCGTCTACAATAGAATGAAAGCTGCCTTGGTTTTGGATCTACTCATCTGGGGGGAAATAGGGCTGTTGTGAAAATTCAAAACACATACATACGCATGTGCATGTGGCAAAACTGTGCGCGATGCACATTGAACTATTTTTCGTCAGTTGATCAAATCGATCAATCCATCAATCCATCAATGGATGAATCAGTCAATCATCTACCCATCCATCCATCCATCCAGCGATTAATCAATCAATCAGTCAGTCAGTCAATCAATCAATCAATCAATCAATCAATCAATCAATCAACATATCAATCAATCAAACGGGCACCCACACCCACACAAAGAGGACCATACCAGCAGTCATGCCATTGGGTGTCCATGGCTGAATGTGTGTGTTACATGCTGCGCCAGCAACAGGCTGCACGGGCCACTTTCAGGCCCGTGACGTTTTCAGGCCGAAAGCCTGAAAACAAGGGCCTACAGGCCCTGTGTCGTTTCAGCGTGAAAGCCTGAAACAAGGGCCTGCAGGCCCTGTGTCGTTTCAGCCTAAATCAGGGCCTTTCCGGCCCTGAGTCTTTTCAGCCTGAAACTGAGGGCCATTTTCAGGCCCTCATGAGTTCGACCTGCCCTGAAACTCAGGCACCAAACCAGGGTTTTAGCACAGGCCATTCTGGGCCTGTTTTCAAGACAACCCCTGGTTGAGCTTCAACGCCAGGGTCTGGCACGTTTCGGAATTGGCAAGAGCAGCCTCCTGGACGGGCCAGCACTATTTAGGACTGGCCCGCCCTGCAGGCTGCAGGTAGTTCCTAGGTACTTCCCAGGCACTTCACGTGCAGTTCAGGAGGCAGGAGGTAGTCTTCAGGATTCGGCAGCAGCACTCTGGAGGAGCGCTGCAGGAGTAGTAGTAGCGCTAGCAGTAGTCTTCAGCGCTGGGTGCTAGTAGCGTTAGCAGTAGTCTTCAGCGCTGGGCGCTAGTAGCATTAGCAGTAGTCTTCAGCGCTGGGCGCTAGTAGGAGCTAGAGTAGTACTGGAGAGAGAGAGATTGGGCGGAGGCCAGGGAGACTTACCTGCAGCGCCATAGCTCCAGCTCCGTCTTCGAGGTACCTGCAGCACAGCGCCAACTTCACAGTTTAGTACCTGGCACATGGGAGAGAGAGAGTTCTTCTTCTTCCTCTTCTCAGTCCACCATCTCCCTCTCACCCTCTCGCTACCTGACTTCACTGCATCAGCAGACTATGCGAGAGCGGGCTTGGTGACATTCGGATCCAGACTCGACATTGGGGTTCAGACATTTTGACGAGGGATTATTTGGGACTTGTAACAAAGACTTGGTGTTGATGACATTCCCATCTCCCCCTCTTCTTCGTCTGTTCCCCTCCTCTTCGTCTGTGCATGATCTGGACCTGGCACATTCTTCCTGTGTGTAGCGCCAGGCCCCTTCACACCTTGTGATGAGGATGATGTATATGTTTGGTCTGCGTTGCAACGTTGATTGGGCTAGTCATTGGTATTCTAGCATTCTGCTACGCTGTCTTGCACTACGTGATAGAGGTCAGTCCCAGTCAGGTCAGGACTTGTATCTAAGTCTTCCCCTGCGCTATAAAGCACCATTTTTGTATGTATCAGAATGTACACTGCTTGTTGAGTTTTCACTTGCACTGCATTGTCCATTCAGACCTTTTTGTCACATTGCGGATCCTCGGTCATGTATGTACATCGCCTAATCGGGCATGTAACAGTGTGTGTAGAGAGGTTTTATGGCTGTGACGTATTAGTTTCTCAGACTTGCTGCTGGGGATTGGACCAACAGTCTGCTAGGATTGCAGGGTTGGTGTGAGTAAAGTCGACCACTTTTCTCAGGGGTATCACTCACTGTGGGCGACGTGGTTTGTCCTTATCCATCACTCAAATGCATTCTAGGCAGATTGTTGTGGTTCAACCTCCTGGTTTGGTGAAAGTCTGAGAAGCAGTCTGGTACAGTCATGCTTTTTTTTTATGGAGTTGTGTATAGCGAACATGACAACACACATGTTGGGTGGGTGGAAGCGGGAGGGGGCCAGCATTCCGCTGGTGATGTCCCCTTTTCTCGAGAAAGACTTAAAAAAAAAAAAAAAAAAGTGTGGGCGGGGTTGGGAAGAAGAGCCTCTCCACGGTAGATGGAAAGAAAAACCTTAGAAAAAATTAAAAAAATGCCTAATTTTTACCTTCTGCCAAATGAATATTCAAGTGTTCTGCCCAAATGGTTTGGAAGGCCTCAAAGCCCGGTAACACTGCTTATAACCTAGGTTACCAGAGTGGCCCTGCACCAGTTGCCTAGCTGGGCCAAAAATAAAATAAAATAAAATAAAATGTATTTTTTGTTTTTTTGATTTTTCCAACTTGACGAAAAACTTTGCTGTGACCCTGAGGCGAAAATTGTTCAGGCCACCCGATGTCAGATTAGACACAATATTGAATTTACCTGGACTGGTTAGTCCGATGATAATACCTCAAGGCCATCGCCCTTTGTAGAAAATAAAAATAAAAAATGTTCAGTTTATTATTCCTCATGGACCGGGACCCAGACCTCAACTGGTTGGCAGTAGGGACTGCCTGCTGTGGCCCAGACATCAGCCTCCAGAAGTGACAAAAGGACGGAGGCCACCTGGGGAAGCACATGTGGGCACTGGCTGCTTGCATGAGCACTGCGTCAGCACATTGCAGCCGGGCAGGTGGGGGGACATCAAAGCGGTGTGGATATCTGCTTGGCCAGGGGTGGCCATAGCTGGCAGCGCTGTGCAGGAAGGACGGTGGCAGGGAGAAGGGACAGCAGTGGGGATTGGCGGTACCTTGTGGTGGCCGAGGAGCACTCGAGTGGTCAAACTCCTCAGCATCAAGTGGTGAGTGGGAGAGTGTGAGAGAGAGAGTAGTCTAGTGTGAAGTGGTAGAGTGCGAGAGTAGTATAGGAGGACACATCATAGTAGGGCTACTGTGTTGTTGTTGTCTTGGTCATTAGAGGAGAGGAGTGTTTTTTTTTTTTTTTGTAAGAGACTTCAACAATCAGTGTACTCTCATTTGGTGTGCTCTCATGCTTTTGTAATTCTGCTTTCAACTCGGCTTTCACATGCTTGGTCTGCTATGAGTCTTTTGCATCTTGAAAATTGTGTTCTCACTGAATGGTTCTTTGCGTGCGTGTGTGTGTGTGTGTGTGTGTGTGCTGTCTCTTATACACATCTAGATGTGTATAAGAGACAGCAGAGAGAGAGCATGGGAGAGAGAGAGTTCTTCTTCTTCCTCTTCTCAG